TAGCATGAGGTCATACGGACTCTCCATACCTAGCACTGTGAACTTCTCTTTACAAGAGAAGTCACTAGAGTTGCAGGCGAGTTCAACTTGAACTCCCTACGATTTAACTAGCGCGCCGTTCGCTAAACAAACGATCGCCTCTTCTCGCTTGCCATCCTGGCAAAGAGACTCAAAACTCGCCGGTCTCTTTTTCAGAGCCGCGAGTTTCACAAAGTTTTGTGATGCACCCGAATCCACGAGAAGGGTCATCACTTGGTCATAGCCTCGTACTCGAGCGCATAGACCAAAAGGGTTGAGGTCCGACCTTTCGAAACCTCAGGGACTATGCTACCCATTTGTTCGATCACTCTGAACTTAAGGGTAGCTTCAGAGTCCGCGACAGTAGGGCATCCCGCCCCTACTGCGCTCCCGCATTTCCCGACCCATCTTGGGCAGGTACTAAACCCGTGCGTCGTGCACGCTGGTTTTTCGCACCTCCCTTCGGGTTGGGAGACTTTTTGCTGGCTGTCTTAGCACCAGCAGCTACTTTGACATAGCAGCAAGCCATCATATGGCCTCGCTTGACGCACTTGTAGCAGATCACATCTGAATTGCCTAACTCCATAGGAGTGGCATCATACTTCTCGGACGACGGCCTGTAATAAGCTGACGCCGAGGCGCTGTTGTAGGATTGCTCCTCAACCATGGCAATATCAATTGCCTCTTCCATCGTCGCTGGCACCTTTATAAAAAGGGCCTGCGCGATGGGCTGCGCCGTAGTCCATTCATGAACGTGGCCACCTTGATACGCTCTGGTATCGGTTCCCCATTAATGGACGCCGACAGCGAACGCATCTCCTGCACAAATTCTTGCAGAGAGCGTTTCGTCTGTCGTGCTCCAAGAAGCGCGCCATAAGCAGCACTTCGTTGTTAGGCGGCTGATACATGGCGCGAATCTTTATTTTAAGGATCGCCCATGGTGGAAACGCATCAACATTTGCCATCAGCGCAGAGTATGCCCACTTTGACGCTTTGCCACGCAAGTTGGACATGGCATACGACACCATCCTGGTGTCGTCTTCGATGAGCTGTGCCACTCCACATTGCTCAACTGCTACTAGCCAGTGAACAATCGTGTGAAGGCTAGTTCCATCGAACTTCGGAGGGTCCATCCGAATGGGCCTCGGTTGAGTCAGGCCGGGCAGAGAGCGTCTCAACAGTTCTGTTGAGCGCCTCATTACGTGCCTGCTCAAGCCTAAGCTCATCCTGAGTCTTAGTGATGGACTCAGCGGTGGCTTGGCTGTTTACCTCGGACGCGTTTCTACGCTGTCCGAGCACAAACGCCTCAAAATGCTCCAACTGAGCAACATGTTGCTCAGGAGGACGGTGCAAGAGGTTGACCAGGGCTTGTTCACCAAGTCCCTGCGCCATATGCTCTGCCAACTCCCTATGATGTTGGGAGGTGAGGGAAGTCACTCCAGTCCATATTAAGGACCATTTTAACCACACGCACGCTCAGAGAGACGGGTCGTGGGAAGGACTACTAGTGCTACCAAGTGTAGACGGGCACTTCTACGAAGTTGCCTCGTACTACTAGCACACACCTTATGCACAAGCGAGGAAGCGGTTAGACCGTCTTACCTTCGCGTGCGAGGGTGGTTAGGAGTTTGGTCGACTCGTACCACCAGTTGCCTCTCGATTGAGCGAGAGTGCAACGAACTTCTTCACAAGAAGGCACCGACGTCACGTAGAAGCTTTTCAGCTTCTCGTAAGTGGTGCTTCGGTGTTTAAGCAAATTCAAGACTGAGCTATATTTAATTAATTATAACTAAATATATACTTAACTACTGATTGGTTATATATACATTTATATATATATAGATCGGATACGCGACTCTTTAGAAGCGTATCCTGTCGCATGATCTTAAATCTAGATTTAAGATCGCAACTGACGTCCTTCTGAGACGTCGCGATGTCTAGCTTCAACTAGCGTCATCCCTTCTCATGTGAATCCATAAATGGATATCACATTCACGAGGGTGGATCACATTTGTGTATCGCACCCAAGTGACAGGTCAAAAGTAATCATGGATACTTTTAGACCAAACATTAAGTATAATACTTAATGACTAGATGCCCTGTTACAAGCAAAGTCAAGTCCGTTTACAGGAGACAAGATACCAAAAGCTGATGTTGCAGTCGAGGGCCGCGTCGTTGTGCAAGTGTGGGAATCAAGAAGTGGTAGTTTGCAAAGTCATGAAGACGAATGGTACAGATTTGATATGCGGATAATTGCTACACGAGTGATTGGGTGTTTCGCGTTAGCAATTCTTCGAGGAGAATGAATTGTGGGCTCTAAAACAATTTATTTAGGCGGGCGACGAACTTTCCATCTTCCCTTCCTACCGCATCTTTTGCAGCTGTGTTCAGTGAAGCGTAAGAGAATGGGAGCGGCCTGCTTTGCAGCTACTCGAGCACTACTACACACAAACATTATCGGTTTCGAGTCATTTGATCTTCGTACTTACAAAAAGATTGTGATAATGTGCGCAGTGATCAATCTTTTAATGAGCAATGAAACGAGTATTCGGAAAGCTGAAAGGAGGTGCTCGGCACGAGCTGAACTAACTATTGCAACAGAAAGCTCGGCCATACACACAAGACAAACGTCTATACGACGCACTGGACCGACTTTGTCTACGAGCTCTAAGTGCCCGACTAAAACACTGCACTTCCGTGTGGAGATGAATATGGTCCAGTATCGTTGGATGACGTCACGTGTGCACTGGGAAATTTTTTTATTAAAACCATTGCTATGTCTGTGGATGATTGTGAAGCGCTGGAGATGAAAATTGCTTTGTCTGCTTATCTGGAAGTGGCTTACACCGGTTTGTCGATATGGTACCTATAAAGCTGAACGGAATTCTGTTAAAATCTTTTCTTCGCGAAATTGAAAGTAAATTGCTGGAAGCAGCTTCGGATGAAAAGTGGCTGAGTTATTAAAAGAAAGTAGTGACAAGGCGATTCGCTGTCAGCAGCTTCTTACCCACTTGTCCATTTTATGGAAAGGAAAGAATATCACTAAAACGAGGCTTAATCCAAGACAAAAGCTCAATGGCGATCTTCTAACGTGAGCTCACAGACGAAAGCCGTCGCAACCTCAGAGAAGGCGTGGTGGCAGCTGAAGAGGCTGAATAGATTGGGAAAAAGAAGATAATTCTTTCTGATCTAGTGCCGTAGTAATCTCTGCTGTGTAATTGACGAAGCGAGACTAAGTTGGCCAGCCACGTAGTCTGCATTGATTCATCTACCTTCTATCAAACACAAATTCTTAAATGATCCTGCCACTGTTACAATGAATCTTCTAACATTGGGTGTTTTCAAGCTCAATGTCTTCATTAGCAACGGCTAGTACGGGTTATGTCGTGTAGTGTTCTCATCATAAGTCGATAAAAAAGAGGTAAACCCTTAAAAAAACTCACGCACATTCTTTTTACGCTCAAGGTAATTAAACAGCTTTGATCGGTAGCTGAGGCTTGCGGAAGTATAAGTTATAGAACTTGTGCTCTTAGCTAATCCAGTTCTGTAGCAACTTTGCGACACTGTATTCTCAATCTGCCTCACTTTTCGAACCCGTAACTCAGACATGAAATGCTAGGACCATGAGCACAATCATCCCGACTGCAGCTTCATGATCTTCAGGACGGACTTGGACACGAACCAGACGGTACGCTTTACGCAGTTTAGCACGCTAATATTTCTGTAAAAAGACTTCAATAGCTACTGCAATTTCATCGATTCCAATGTGACGGAACCACCACGAGTACTTACTTGACTTGGTCCACCAGAAGGATATCTATAGTTAAGATAGCCTGCAACGTATGTATTTTAATTCGGACTTGTCAAGTACGTGCCTGGATGCTCGTTGTTCGTTTGCTGCTTTAGCGGCTTGTCGTTCATTGTGTGTAAGCTGTGAGACGTGATCATCCTGCTTGTGAAGTGTCACGTATTAACGTAGCCCTATGATCTTAATTTTGAGATCTTCTGCTGCCACCACTTCCTCTAAAGTTGCAATGGCTTTCGTCCATCAGCTCGCGTTAAAAATTGTCATCAAGATTTTGTCTTGGATCAAACCCTCTACGCTCGCAAACGTCCTGCCGCATGCAAGGCAGGTGGCGCAGCGTGTGAACCATGCGGGGGGCAATCGACACAAAGTTTCGAGGTGTGGTTCACAAATGACACAGTAGTGAACAGCCCATCAACTAGTTCTTACCCTTCTCCATTCCGCCTCTAGTCGTCAGCCAGTTCACCGAGCGCAAATTTCGATCCTACAAAGCGAGCTCCCCTAGAACGTGAGTTTCTAATGCGACGCGTGATCGGAAGCTTATGGACCATAATGTTATCCGTCTGATCCGTTGTAAACTCTAGACAACGGCTTCCTTCGAGGTTGTTCATTTTCAAATTGGTGATGAAAGTGATATTATCGGGCAGACCTTATCCATCGTACTGCTTACAGTCATTTGAGGTCCACCGCAGGCGCTCTGCATTGAAGTTCTAGCTAGAGCTTGACGCTGATCCGTCGATAACGCGCCGCATCACGCTACGGGCTAACCCATGGTCTCTCTAAATGTTGACTTCCTTCATACCCGCACTCAAAAGCATCTAGTTTTATTTGACGCTCGAGCTTAAGGCATGCCCGACAAGCAACTACGTATATAGTGTTTGTGTCCGAGCACTGAACTGGTCGATGTCAAATTGTTGTACAGCGAAAAAACGGAGTAGACTTGAAGCTGAATATGTCGACTAGCTGATGAGAATCGAGAGCCGCAGACTATCATCAATATAGCTAAAACCAAGTAGACGTTGTGTGACGGAGGTGTTCCAATAGACTTCGATGACCAAAGATGGGGTAAGCTAAGAGTTTGCTTTGTTTGTTTTTGCTGTGAATGGCCTTCTTCGACTCGTCAATCGGACTAAGGCCTTTATTCTAGCAGCTTCCTTTCGGTGCAATACAGCGACTGTCACTGGGTAAAGCCAACGTCCGACGCTTTGCGCTGGTGGTCTACCAGCATCAGGCTCGCCACAAAAGTCATCATCATCTTGGGCTTCACCTCCACGATATCCTCGTACATTAAGAAGACGGTCGCACCTATCTTCTGCGCACAGCTGATAGTGTATTTGGCGTTGCTGGCCTTCGCGTCGTCTGTCTTGTCTTGTAAGACCATGTCCCAATCCACGGCGCGAGGCTCGACAGCATGGATTAAGTCAAGCAGGTAGAGCCCGTCGGACAGACTCGGGTCCCGGAATGACACGATGTTGCCCTTTGCCCGTCCGCTCTGCCGAACCTTCTCGTTTGCCCATCCGACGATATCTTTGTCGGTGATTTCGCCACGGCCCGCTCCGCCAGATCGTTCAAAATCTTCAGTTGCCGGTATCGCATGCTGTGCCACACAATCGACAGATTCATCTTCTTCGCACCTGTCAAAGATGTCAGCGCCACCGACATTAACAAGCGAAAAGTTGAGCTGTTTACCCAGCACAACACAGACACTGCTCAAGTAATTTGAACTTATCAAGCGCTGCATGTCTGCATTTGTACAGTAGGTACTTTCGAAGACCACTGAAAATCGCAATCTACATGTAAAAGTTACATGAGGCAAATGCGTGCAATGCAACTTTTGAGAAGACGCTGCTTACCAATCCCTGTTAAATGCACTGCTTTAAGCACTTAATGGTCTCATTCACCCTTAAAAGCTCAATTCATGAAAGACCGGCAAGCTCGTTGATGTGCTACTCGAGACTTCGAGGTTTTAGGCTGGTCATATTTATACATCTACCGGCAATTGCCAAGCACTCACTCGCTGCTATCGATGGCGGAAACGAACAGCAAGCCAAAGTTATTCCGAATCCTCAATTGCGGGTGCCACTGTCAGCGAGTGTGGTGTCGAGTTTTGACGTCGTGCGATTCTAACTACACTAGCAAACTTCAAACATTTCCAACTAGTCCCCGACAGTGTTACCACAACTTTGAATTCGGCAACAAAAAGTATATGTGGCGAGTCAAAGTGATGCTTCCAGTGAAACATCTAGGGTTGTCAGGGTCATAATAAAGCTCTAACAGGCAGCATTTAGCTTGCGTCTTCATTTGGTTTGTTTCCATCCAAGTCGTATTATAAGTTGTCCGTATCACTCAACGTTTTTCATTACTTGACAATCTAGTAGTTCTCGTTCAAAGAAACGAATCGTGACAAGAGCCGGTAGTAATGCGTTGCGTTGCATTGCACTTACCCAGTACAGACAACAACTTTGGTAAAACGGTGGCATTATTTCTAGTCAGGTATCGATATACTACGCACTGTATCATATTCTTTTACTAACAAGACATACATACGTCCTGGTATGTAAACCTACTGAAAACCCGACAATCGCGAGTCTGTACACTGAAGCAGCCAAGACTCCCTCTTGACTCCAGATGATACCACTAGCTCGTACCGTGCCTATATCTACACGAAATGCGCGTCGTCGTGTGCATCAAAGCTTGGTTTCTACGCGAATGACCTTCTCCACTGTTACGATGGGTACGAATTTAAACACGAAGATGGCGCCTCTAAACAAGATTAGAGAGTGTCACATCAAGAAATGTGCAGAACATCAGCACGACCGTGTATCTCGCGACGACGGCATCAGCCTAAGCTCAACTCTGCAGCTTGGTATGGCTCTAAGTCTCGTGCTTCTCGCCGTCGTAGATTCCTTGCTGTAGAAGATGAGAGGCATTGCCATTGTATGAAAGGGGTCAGGTAAACGTTTGAATGTGATGCAACCAGTATAGAAGATAATAGTGATGCATTTGCAATTCGTTAAGCAATAAAGCGCGTGGTCGAAAAATACTCAAAAACAAAGCTGAGGCCTATATGTTCTCTGTCGATCCAGACAAAGCAAGAAGTCTTGCGATACTATAGCCCGGCGGCAGTCCTCAGTAAGAGATCTTGTACTTTCTTCACAGCAACACATCATAGAATCAGCTTGCACGTCAACTGCTGGAAATGCCTTCACATCTTCAGTGATGATCCCATAGCAGTTAAAACGGAAGATGAGGAACCGATACAAATAGCATGGTCGCGTGTTTGGCATCGTACATACCCAAATAGTACATGATGCTGGGGCCAAAGATAAAGCTGATGGTAGACTGAACATAGAGAGATCAATTGACTTAGTCATGAAATCAATACATCTCATAGATAGTCGTTGTCACTCGGATGATGGAGCCACGCAACGTTGAGCAAGTCTTGCTACAGAGTCTTAAGCGATAATACCACGGTTGTCAATGTCACCTTGTGAGTTGTAGGAACTTATGCCCATCTCGAACCTTTAGACACCTGCCGCTTTTGCACAGATATACGCACATGCACACCGGTGAGCATGTGCGTATATCTGTGCAAGCTGGAAACATCATGAACCTGTTGTATCGTCAGCCGGTGAGTCTCTCATGTGTGCGGCAACCTAGAGATCGATGCTGATGTTACTCCCGAGGGCGTATAACATGATCTGCTTCTCACCACTACTGCACGGGGAAAAAGCTACATCTTCTGATTCCCCGATGTACTATAATTTGGAGCATCCATCGGAGGTGCGTGGAGGTGAACCCGACTCTAAACACCAGAAAATGCAAACAACTATCGATGTCCATGTCCAGCATCAACACAAGTTGTATCATTAAGGGCTTTAATACATTCCGAATTTCGATCAAGCCGCGGTCTTCACGGAAAGCGACCAAAGTTTGTTATAAGACACCAAAGCGATAATTAACGAAGAAAATAAAAAGATTGGTCGCATTTTGATGTTAGCAAGAGCCCGTCTCACTTAATCTGTGCTTCATTGTCGCCGCCTTACAGTCCAGCAAGAAAAGCTGTTGTTGCAAGAGTAGCGGTGGAAATGGCAAAGCCAAATGATGACGTTGACGAAGCCGTTGTAGACGGAGTCGTGTCATCAGTGACCTGGTCGCTCGAATGCGTGCCTGCTGTTGGGACGGCTGAGCCTGATGAAGGGCTCATCGTCGCCGAGTTGGTGGAAGCGTCGGATGTGTCGACACTTTTGGTATCACAAAAGTCAACAACAGCTTGAACGCGTTCCTTAACATTGATGCCATCCATCGAGCAATCTGGGAGCTTCTCGAGCATGTCAGACATGAAGTTGACGCAGTCTGCGTCAGAGCAGTAGTCGCCATTGCCCGTGGTCGCTGTCGTGTTTGGACATGAGCCGCCTAATGTCGAGTTGTAGATGCTAGAAATTGTGGAGCGTTCAGCCACTGTACAGTCTTGAGCAACGACTAGCGTTGATGTTGCGATCATCAATAATAGGAGATAAGGGGAGGTCTTCATCGTGTGGTAGATATTAGTAGACTTACGTTGATCTGATGCGACTTTTACGTAGCAAAATAATAAATGAGACTTCTGCTTGGGGAATGCCATCATCTCAGATCAAAGTGTAACGGTTCCAGAGAGAGCCTGTCAGACGACAGCCGCTGCATTCGCTACTTCAATTACTACTGTGTGTGGACCACACACAACCAAAAGCTACGATTCAATCCCCTTCAAACTCGTTCGTTTTTGGCGCCAAAAACGCATGGCAGCCCGAGGATGGGAGCGTGACGGCGACTTGGCTCGGCGCGACGACACTGGTGCCTCTACCGCCACAGTTGATGGTATATCAGGTACTCACGATGGTGGAGGAGATGCTGCAGGATCTGCTGTAGTTCAAAAACGGCGTCGCAACCTGCTACGAGAGTCACATTTGGTCTCAGCTGAAGGTTTCAAAAAAGTCCACCGGACGTTTCCATATCAAGTGAGCGGCGACGTTTCGGGACGTGAAGCTCAGGCCCTGGCATCTCTGATCAATATGTACAAGCAATGGGCCTTTGATCTTTATCCAGGCCTGAATATTGAGGACTTTATAGACCGCACTGAGACGCTGGGAAAAGGACATCAAGTACAAGGTCTTATGACGGAATTGAGAGAGGAGGAAAGACTTAAAAGAGTAAAGAAAAGAGACGAAGAAGAAGAGAAAGTTATTGAAAGTGAAGAAGAGGAAGCTATGCTATAGACGAAAAAGAGAAGTCCTACTTGCTGATTGGGTTGCTTTGGCACAAAATAAACTCGACAGCGTCAGGTCGTTACGTTCTAACACCCGGAAGGATATACAGCACTGCTGGATGCAGCACGACAGTTACTGATTCAACAAGTTTATTGAAGTTCCATCTGCTCCGCCAATCTTGTAACTTGGCATTGATTATACCCTTCGCTTTCAGGGTCGTCACTAAAACTATGCGTGATCTTTCAAGGCATCAGCTACAGCCTTCTTCGAGTCGGACTCAGCTATATTGCTTCAATGCTAAAAATAATCTCAAGGATATTTCGTAACATTCAAGCTGTTGTCGTCGCTTTCGCTCTCTCTTGACACACTGGCCCTTTCTCCTTTACACCGCCGAATGGCGTTCCAGCAGCCCTTGAGCTGTTTCAGCCAGCTTGTTGGCTTCTTCGATCGCTTGCATTATAGCCGCAAGGGTCTGTTCACCTGTCCGAGGTCCTGCCGTCTTTGATCCAGCTAAGTGCTGCTTCACCAGCTCCAGATTTTCGATGATTCGTTGACCATCGTCTAGCACTTTTGACAACTCGAACAAACTCTCGTCTCTTGACGTAAAGTTGCGCGCCATCTGCCTCTGTACTCGCTGTGAAGCTACCTGAGCCCCAGCCAGTTCATTTAGCAGCTCTATCAGCTCCTCCTCCTTCTCCTGAATCGCATGCTGCTGAGGTTGTAGCAACGCCATCGACTTGATGATCTTCTTCTTCCCTGCCAACGTCTCCAGCACTACGTCGTGTGCTGGAGTCTTCCCCTTGATTACCAGCTTTAACGCTTGAGGCGAAGTCAGTCCCAGCACTGCACTCACCTTCTTTTTGACGTCTAGAATTTGCTTGGAGCGCGGAAATATCACATCGTAGCGACTTTTTCCTCTAAAAACCTGCACCAACAAAACGTCATCTTCCAGCTCGTTCACGTCGATTTCTGGGGCCTTAGATACCGTTTTTGAAGCAGAATTTCCTGCAACTGGCGGTGCCAGAATTGAACTCGAGGATTTAGAGGTTTTTACTGCGCTAGGAGCTGCAGATTTCTCGTAAAAGGATGAATTACGCAGCACAAGCAGCTTGCAGCCGTTCGTAAGGACTGTCGACATTTTGACGTCACGTCCTCGAACCACTAAACGCTGAAATTTTGGATCCAGGTGGAATTTTTCAGCAATTTGTATCTTTAGTTTGTCTAGAGCCTGTATGTCTTGCGTACAGACAGCAAGAGTGGTCGACTGCTTGCCAAAGACAACGGTCACGAGCAGCTCCGACTTGTTCGACATGATCGGTTTTTGTGATGGATTTTCATGTGGAGTACGTAAATTGAAGCTGGTCATCTGCTGGTGGTTGTTCAACATGTTCGTCTTTCTGTCGTCATCTGGCCGTAACATAAAAAGACTGAGAGAGAGATGAGCGACACTTTTTGCTGATCCGGACTACTTACTGCTTTTCGACTCTTCTTGGCTCAGAGATAGGGAATAATCGCTAAGAAATACTCCAATTAGATTGTAAAAGGTTGCCCTTGTTCATGAGGAGATCTGCAGTAAAACGGCCACACACACAGAACAAGAATGTAACATTCTTTCGGACGGAGACCACAACAAAGCTTTCCCACATCATCATTCCAATATTTTCGACGCACTATAAAACAACATGGATACAGCAAACATGAAGTCAAATTCAGGTGAAGTTTTATTGCCATTGTCGCGTGTAGACGCCATGAAAATTTTTTGAGAAGCCATAGGCTCGTAATTTTGTACATCTTCCCACCATCGTCTTTGCCTTATTGTCTCGAGAAGCTGCAATCTTCTTTCATTAACCTCGTAGAACAAGACTATCCGATTCTTTTAGGAGAACTCTATAGTGATATTAAGACGGGCGTCGTCAGTGTGAAGCAATCAATAAAAAGTCGACAAGCAGGGGCTGCAAAAGACATTCGTTTCGAGACAAATTCGTCATGTTTCATGACAACGGAACAAGCAATTCAGGAGCGGACGTGGGACTTAATGCCGACAATGCGGAGTGATACGGAACTCATTTGTGTGAAAGGGACTCTGTTAGCTGATGGAGGGTTGGTAGTTGGACTGGAAACCAGTCATATGCTGTTTGATGCGGAGTCCATATTCACGCTAATGACGGTGTGGGGTCAACACTACAGCGACGTGGAGAAGACACATCGGTTGGTGGTAAATCATGACCGACACTTGCTCGGAGGAACGGGAACTCCATCGAGCATGTCACATCCGGAATTTTGCGTTGTTAAAGCGGAGACAAAAGCTCAAGAAGAAGATGTTCCAGTTCAAGCACCGCCACCGGCGTCTCATTACTTGTTTCATTTGACTCCTGTCATGATGAAAAGATCAAGGAAGCAGCGACTTGGGGTGGGTTGACGAAGAACGGGGTCACTGAAAATTCCTATGTGAGTACAATTGACGCAGTTACAGCGTTGTTTACTGTGTTGATCTCGCAAGCTCGCGGCCACGGGAAAGAGGTACGGATTGCAACTTGCGTAAATGCTCGACGGCGTCTTGATCCGCCTTTGCCTGCGAACTACGCCGGAAATGCCATTTTTAACGCGTTGTCGACGTACAGTGCCAGGGAATTGCAGTCTGGTGATGAAAAAATAGCTGTCATTTCACCGTTGACGCTAGGAAAGCTTGCTCGACGCGTGCGTGAATCAATTCTTAAGTGTGATGATACCTATCTGCGCGACGCAGTCAACTTTTTGTCCGAGCAGAGCAACATCGCTGATGTCCAAACGGGCTTTAACTTCGCTTTCGGTCCTGACCTTCTGTTCACGTCATGGCTGCACTTGGGCATGTACAATGCTGAGTTTAACGGTATGCATCCGTGGTACGCATCCGTCCCTCATCTACCATGCTGTGATGGCTTTTCGATTGTCACGGAGGCTCAAAAAGGAGGCGATGGCATCGACGTGGGTGTCTTTCTTGAATGCACTGCCATGGAGAAACTCAAAAGGATGTTTGCAGAGGTGTCGTACCTTTATGAGTAGAGCTGATAGCAGTAAACAGATAAAATTGACTAAAGCCATCACTGCTTACGATTGTGCATGAATGCAGTTTTCCATGCCATTTGTTGTTCGAGAGGGCCAATTGCTAGGTCAATGGTAACTCTTTAAACGCCCGTTCGCCATAGTTACTACACCAGTCTAGCTACAACGATCATTAGCGCGTAAATTTTACAATTATCCGCCGTCATCTAAGTTATATCAAGGATACGGGCATATCATGAAGTCCGAAAATGACATACCGACGTGCTGTAAATTAGTGTCCTCAAGCAAACTTATGTCGGTCGTATGAGGCGACCAATTTCGTTAATTAGTTGCTTACTACGTGAATGTGCCATGCGCAGACATGAGAATGTGGGGATCAGTTGGTGTAGTCTAAAAGTGCTGTATCGCACCGATCAAACAAGCCCCTTATTCAAGTATCGAGCTTGCCGAGTGATACAATACGTTTCCTACTCTAGCTCGTATCGTAGTGCATTCCAACCTTCATGTTTGTTTAAAATGCAATCGAATACGAGTAAATGGGGATTGATGTGAAGGCATTCAAAATCTGAACAATACGCACAATTGTTTGGGGGTGCATCACAAACGTAGGAAGCATGATTTCATTTCCACTTACGTCTATTCTCGTGGCAGGAAGTCTTTAGCTTGGTGATGTGGGTTCGGTCAGTATATAAACGTAGTGGCGTTTGTTCTACCAATGACAAAAGCATTTCTACTTGATGGTCGAATGCAAGCCATCTACAATCTGCTCCAGGGTCAAATTACCTCCAAGCGAGGCAATTTCGTTGCGAATCTCTTGGACTGTGTCGTTGAGCTTAGCGAGAGTGAGTTTAACTGCACCTGTTTCGCGTAAATAATGCACAGCATACTGCTTGAGTTTGGTGCTTTTTGTGCGTTGCTTGAGGATACTTAACAATCTTGTATCCTGCGGGTTCTCGCGAATAGCCACAATGAGCGGGAACGAGAATTTCCCTTCCGTCAGATCTTCACAGAAACTCTTGTTTTCCATGTAAGCTTCATCCAGTAGATTGATATAATCATCTCGAATTTGAAAGTACACAGCCAAAGCATTTACTAGCGGTGTAAAGTCCAATATGGAATCACTGAATGCTTGCATCAATCCCACCGCTAATCGAAACAATCCCCCCGTCTCTAAATGGAGCAAGGAAAGAATACAAAAAGACACACATGTAGTCAGAAATGCACCATTGTGGACACTTAGAAGAAAGAGTCACTCAACTATTCTGCACCATCTCGAGATATTCATCCACCGTCGGACATTGCAAATGGTCTCTCCAGAAAATATCCATTCCTTGGCCTTGGTGTAGTCTCAGCATCTCATTAGTGTATACCTGCATGGCCTTGGGATTACCCAATGCCTGACACTTTTGCAAGGACAAAAAGTACACATAGTTGGCACAATTGATTGTGGCTGGCACGCCAAAAATGTGGTGGGCCACGGGCTGACCCCGTCTCATTTCCGAGTCATCCTCAATGTCGTCAATACTACAACAATTAAATTAACAATTATTGTTAAAAAGATATAGAAATAGAATTACAATAATTGTAGAAAAGCAGCGCACAGGAGACTGGCATTGTGCAATTGATCTACAATTCTCTGGATACTCTCCACGGCTTCAAAGGGAGCACACAGCCACGTCTGGAAAGCACCAATCATCTTGCCACGCACACCCTTGCCAGGAAGCTCACTGATGTACGCATACGGCTCCAGCAGCTTCGTTTCGTTTTCCTGTACGGTCGCCATTGCCAAATAAAATAATGGTGATGTGCGTACAAGTTTTAGTTTTGTACTACGTACAATAATGTACCCATGTTGAATACAAGTACGTTTTTATATTTTTCAAACATGTATTTAGCCACAAATATCGCTTCATTCCAACATTTCCTAATTTTAATTGCAGCTTAATCGATTATAACCGGATGATCTCCATCTTGCGTGGCTTGCAAGGCAGTAGCAACATTTTCTCATTTGCCAGCTCTTCCTCACACTCTTTTACTTGAGTAGCATCCTTCGCCGTATTTAACATTGTCAGCATTTCTTCAAATCTACACAGTAAAAAGTTATGAACGACTTCATTGAATGTTACGATTGACAAGGCTGTAGTAACGAACCGGCGTTGCGTCGTCTCGTGTCTCTCCTTCTGCTGCACCAACTTCCTCTCCTGCTCTTGTATCGTCTTTTCCTGTGCTTCTACCTGCATTTGAAGCTCTTCTGCTGATGCTGCACAGCCGTTGGAACTCATGATTACGTCATCTTGGGTCGTCGAGCCTTCCAACAGCTCCTTCGTCCAATGCGCATTCTCCTGATAACGCTCGAATGCGCGATGGCGCGTCACGCGCAATTGTTGCCGCATTTCCTGCGAGATTTCTAGTGGCGCAGTGTTAACAGGCGGAACGGCCACCTGCGAGGCGCGACCAAGGCGCACTTGCTTCATCTCCATTTTGATTAAAAGTTACAGAGAAAAGGAAAAGCGTTGAATTAGCCAATCAGCACAGGTACATTCGGAATCGTTGTAATGTCTTTGTTTTAGCAGTAAGAAATTACATTTGATATAATGTACTGTGTACTGAAACAAGAGCATGCTTTTAGGCAATTAAACCACTTTCAAACGTATTTATTACAACAAGGTTACAATATACAACTTTCGGTCGGTGTGTTGGTTAGCAAAGTAATTGATTCTGTCGGCTGTCAAATGATTTGTTCCAATTTTCAATACCAAAATCAGCTTAAACAGTACAATGAGCACACAACTGTAGTGATAAAGCTGGTTTTTGTATTGAAGTGTGCGATACCTTTCGCACTCGTCGAAATCGATCGGCTTGCCGATCGTAGATACAGTTGTATGAGGCTAACACATTGAATTATCCCAATGAAATAAAGCTGGACAAAACAAAATCTAGTCACGAAGTCCGTTGGCATTGTCACTACATCGTGTCTGCTAATGAATGGTGACAAGCTCATCAAGAGACGGTACAAAAAATCGTACCATCGAGATTATTTTCAAATTAGCAAGTATTACTAAAACACGAGCTGGTAATATATTGATTTTCAAAACACGGTGCATCACATCACTCTCCTATTAATTGCCACACAACCCATTTTACCGCCTGCCTCATAAATGACGAAGCACAAAAGTTACAACAGTATGGACGAGTTAAAACCTCTTCAAAGTCCATCGTCTACCGTAGAGTCCAAAAGTTTACGTCGCAATGTACTTACTAATAGTGCCAAAGGAGCTCAACATAAGCTGCAATTGGCTTGTATCTGCTCGCTTCTTTTCATGTGTGCAGAAATCGTCGGCGGTTTCTTAGCCGGTAGTTTAGCGATCATGACAGATGCTGCCCATTTGTTATCCGACGTGGCGGGTTTTTGCATTTCACTTTTTGCCATTTGGGTGAGCACGTTACCGGCATCAAAGCGTTTGAGTTTTGGCTTTCAACGTGCTGAAGTGATTGGTGCCGTTACAAGTGTCTTAGTCATTTGGGTACTTACGGGAGTGTTGGTTTATGCTGCAGTGGAGAGATTTATGGAGTGTCTAAGACCTCATCCAAAGGAACATGTGAATGGTAAACTCATGTTTATTGTGGCTTGCATTGGTCTCGTCGTGAACCTGATTCTGATGCAGATTTTGGGACACGGACACAGTCACAGTCACGGTGGTCATGGTCACAGTCACGATGGTGAAATTCATGGACATGGTCATGGAAATACCAGTAGCAGCTCAAGTAGCAGTGAGGAGAGACATGGTCACTCTCATGGTCACTCTCATGGTGGACATGTAAATGAAGATTTGGAGAATGGTCAAGTCTCCTTGTCATCTGAAAAGAAATTAGAGAATTTGAACATTCAAGCGGCCTACATTCACGCACTCGGTGACTTCATTCAGAGCATTGGTGTGTGTATTGCCGGAGGACTCATCTGGTACAAACCAGAGTGGCAGATTGCAGACCCTATTGCCACCTTTGTCTTCTCTCTGTTGGTTCTTGGCACGACGGTCGGCATTGTCCGCGATAGTGTTCACGTGCTGATGGAGGGCACACCTGATGGCATTCACGCTGACGAAATTGAGCGTGGTCTGCGTCACTGCTCGTCTGTTGTGGCTGTGCACGATCTGCACATCTGGTCGTTAAGTGCAGGTTTGCCGTCGCTTAGCGTGCACCTGGTGTCGGATGATGCGGAGACTGCACTGCACGCTGCTCAGCGCTACCTCCTTTCCAAGGGCATCACCCATACTACCATTCAGATTGAAAAAACTTCAACGCTGTACCCCCGCAACTGCAATTCTGACCTAAAGTGTGGTCAGGACTCTCCACACTAGATATGTGATATGTGGTGTTAGCGGAGGAAGGCTTCTTTAAGGTCTAATAAGGTACCAGCTCAGAATAAAGATGGTTAATCGAGAAGGTTGCAAGCAGGTCCACTCAATTTACAGACATTTGGCAATGCAAAGCGCACCTTGCAGTCTGGATTGACGACCTAAAAGATGGTCGTGTCAACTAATCTTTTTGATTGCTTCAGCCTTCTAGTAGAATGCCGTCGGTAAGTCGGCTGGTGACGCATACAGTACATAGTATCGTTTCGCTTTAGTGTAGTGTTTCGTTATAGTCATCGCAGTGAAAGACCGAATATGGTATTGTGATAGACTGCAACTGATGGCGGTGTTCTGGTGCGACTTTTCATCAAAACCATTTCATACACCGACAAAAGGTCAATCAAAACTCTTTCTTCTTGAATATGTTTACCATGGGGTCGATCACATGTTCAAATTCAATGACCTCTCATTAATCTTAGTCGGACTAGGATATGCTTTGTCCGACGGCGGCTCAAGTCAAATTGGATCCTGATATACAACACGCAAAACAATGACCTGAAATTGTTCTAGCAGCTGCAAGAAACATCTCGAGCAATGCCATCACGTCATAATTCACGAGCGTTCGCTCGCTCCATGGCGTCAAAAGACGCGTTACACCACCACAGGGTACGAGGCGCAGTCGGCTAAGCCGCACATGTTGCTTCCTCGTGCGATCTGAAAAAACCCGTTCATGCCCCACCTGACACCCCAACTGTTCTTAACGATCCAGTGGTTCTTGCCGTCCACGACGCCGTAGCCCACCGACAGTACTGCGTGATTAACATTCTTCTCGCCTGAGAGGCACTTCGTCGACTCATACACTCCAGATTTATAGAAACGAAAGTCTGACACCACTTGAAAAGCGATACTGACGGGTCCAACAGAGCCCACAGCAGCTTTCAGCTCGTTCTCGTTACGTGACGTAATGTTTACCACTTTTTCCACTTGTACACCAACATGATACGTATTAAATTTGCACTTACCTTCCTTTGCCTCGTAAGAATAGGACTACATACAATACATACCAACAACAAGATAGAAACAAAAATATCACGATACGACACATAGACCTGTACAAACATATTCACCACCACTCACGTCTTCCTTGTCCAAGCCTCCATTGTACTTAACATACTCAAAAGCGTGTGACGGTAGTCCTCCATTGCAGCCATGATTGTCAAAGTTTTGTGCACAATCAAGCAAATTCTGCTCCGATAAGATGGTAAACTCGCCATGTTTGAGCTTCACATGACTTTCGAGACACCCCGTCGTCGAGAATGTCCAGCATGAGCCACATTTGCCCTGGCTCTTAACAGGAGACACAACTCCATCAGCTCTCCAATCTTTTGTAGCAGGTACATCATTATACACCATTTTATTGTCTGTATTTATTGTAGCTGAACATTCTTGTGGAGCTCCCAAGTACCAGCTCTGAAATTCGTCCCACGTGACGTCTGCAAACTCATTGAGTTCCATTGTAAAGCTCTTGTCTTTTTTGCGATTATGAACAGCAACAGAGCGTGCATTGATCTCAAAAATGCCTCTTCGAAGCTCATTCTGGCCAAAAGAGTCGTATTTCTTGTCATGTTTATCTTTCCAAGCTTCAAAAAGGTTGTCAAGCTCTGAAAACGTCGATGGAAGTTGTGTCAGCTCCCAGGACAGTTGTTCTTGCTCTTTTGTGCATTTGAAGATAGCAGGAGGTAAATCATTCGCCTCTTTGGGCGTGTAACAGGACGATGGAACAGCTGCACAGACACACCAGACGCAGTGGTTTGGTAAACACGTCTCTTTGGTTGTGTAGTCATGACAGGATTCATCTTGTTGTATAATATAAAGAGAATCATTATAATGCTGCTGTGCTATGACGTGAGAGATGAGAAAGACACAGGACAAGGCAAGAAAGAGGGCAAAAGGGGCCTTCATTGTGTTGTGACTTGGGCTTGGAAAATCAGAAAATGAAGATCGTTTTAGATTTTTTTCTTCAACTGGATACAAGATATTAGTGATTGGTCAAAATGGATGGATATTTACGATTCGTACTTTGCGTTGCATGTAAATGTAAACTGATAAAAGAATTGTTTTAGTCGCTATTTAGTCCAAGTTAAAAGCTAAACTTGACGTAGAAAAGAGGCTGAAAAATAATAATGAGCTTTAAAATGTTAATGCTTTAATGTTTCTTACCAATGGAAACATGGTTATGCTGTGTTTTAACATTTTATAAAACACTAGACTAAACCCGTCGATTGCGTTTCAGCATCTTTACAGCTTTTTCCTCGTCCACCACGTTGTGGAATGTACCAACAATGTTTGACAGCCATTCCACCAACAATCGTTGCATCCACATCTTTAGTCATTGACCAACTATCATCAAACGTAATAAAGCTTACTTTTAACCACGTAGGAGAGACATTCAATGAGAAAAAGCCATAAGGATAATGACCAGCTGCCCATACATTCTTCACATAGTCTTCAGCATACGGAGGAATTCCGCTAGGTGATTCGTTTTGAATACCTCCTCCTGCACCATTCTCGATAAAATGCGTCTTAAATGCCGAGTAGTCGTGTTTTTCACCATGGGTGTGACCGTAAAAGAATACTTGAATACCCAAACCATCTAACAACTCACGCCACTTTTCGGCGGGGTCAGGAGCATAGTGGTTGTATGGAGAATAGTGCGTGTTCACAATTTTCCAAGTCGCATTCGAAGCTTTCGCAGCTTCGACAAGTTTCTTACGTGAGTCATCACCCCAAGCTTGGAATTTTGCCATGCATGCATCAAACATACTCGTGTCACCTCCGGCGCATAGACTGTCACCTCGCTTTACATTTTCACAAGAGTCATCGTCTTTACCAGAGTAGCCATAACATTGGCAGCAAACTTGCTGAGCACCGTGTGAGTCGGCGTCGTTCGTGTCAAGGTTAAAAATGTCAATTGTTACGTTCGATGTGGGGTCAGCGATCGAGTGCACGAAGAAATGGTCGGGCATGATCCACCGATTGTCCTGTGGACTCACGTACTGTGACTGTAGGGTAAACTTCTGATCCAATGATGCCAGCAATTCAGCTGTCGACCCACACTCAGTGGCCTGCTGTCCATCTGTGCACACAAAGCTTGCACCCCCATAATCATGATTGCCCATGACGTTCACCCAGGGAATTCCAGTCAAGCTCGGCATATTGTACTTATCTTCAAACGTCTGTTGGAATCGATAAGCTTGGTCTGTGACGCCGTGCAGTCCGTCCCAATAGAAATTGTCGCCATGGCCGATCACGATGGACGGACGAGGTTGCAATGCTGCAGCAGCCTGACCCAACAGAATAGCCACATACTCCATCGCGTTGTAGTCCAACACTGTAAAGGCTTTGCGACGTGCGCAACAAGAGCCGCCATCTTTAGCAATAGTACGACCCCAGTCTCCGATTGCAAGAGCAGATACCGAGTACGTCTCCGTCAGTGGATCCGTCGTTTCTTCATCCTCATCCAGCGACCCATCACTGGAGTTCTCATGCTTAAAACTATGCAGCTTGTCTTTCTTGCGCGGCTTCTCTGTAGCGTCTGATCGTTCATTGTCACCTTTACTGGATGTAGTAGAGGCATCTGAGCCGGACACTGTCAAAGCAACCACAATAACTGCAACTATGACAGCGAGCGCCGCTATAATACTGATCACAAGGGTCTTCTTCTGCATTTTGCTGAATCAACCACTAGTCCTGCTGAGAATGCAAGACAAATAATGAAGACACCATTTTCCACACGAGGCTGGGCATCAATCAACTTGTTATCTCTCCACCCAAGAAAACACTCGGAAATTGTACGACCCTGATGTCGTCACGAGTCCATATTAGTGGTCACTGCAGCATTTTAAATTCGTTTATGGATTGCGCGGTGTCCCATAGACGACATAACCATCAATCTCGGGACAGATCGATGTAAATGCATTCGGTTCAAGTCGAGAGCCTGATCACTTCAGTGATTAGTTTCCAAGGCCTACTCACACAAATTTATCAATATCATGTTCATGGTCATGATCCGCATTGATCATATACCTACTCAAAATGTGCCACCAATAAGTTGGCTATATTTGCAGTACGAGACAACACATCGGATTGACGACTGATAATTCGGCACTTCAATATTTAATGACCGTTACAGATATGTGTGAATCTGCTGTACTTGCTGCATTAACTGCGACTGTCAACAAGTGAGAGCAGTAACATCAAATACTACTGGTAAGCGACCCAATAGAGGGTAAAAGGCTGCTTCTTAGCTCCAGCTTCGTTCAATAACGCCTTCATCCATAGGTATATTTTCCTGTAGTATAATGCTGATTCAACTGCTGAACTAAAAGATGTCAATGTTAACAATCTTGATGTCCGTAAGAGGTTTGTCCGACTTGTCCACTCGTGCATTCTCGATGCTAGAAACAGTGTCCTTGCCGTGCTCAACACGACCAAAAACAGTATGTTTATTATCCAGCCATGGAGTAGGCACTGTCGTGATAAAGAACTGTGAGCCGTTGGTACCAGGGCCCGCGTTTGCCATCGAAAGCGTGAATGGCCGATCGTGCCGTAAGCTACGGTGAAACTCGTCTTCAAACTCGCCTCCCCAGATAGATTCGCCACCAGTGCCATCACCAAGCGGGTCACCCGTTTGAACCATAAAGTTCTTGATCACACGGTGAAAAATAAGATTGTCGTAGTATCTGTTGCGCGCATGCGTACAGAAGTTCTCCACAGTTCTGGGGCATTCCTTGCCGAACAACTTGAGCGTGATATCGCCCATCGTTGTGTGCATGATAGCCGTTTCGCCAAGTACCTTAGCAGTGCTAGACTCGGTGGCAACCTGGGCCTCCTCCAGTGTAGGCTTTTCGTTGAAAACATCGCGGCCAGTTCCAGCGCTGGCGCCTTCACCTTCGTCGTCTTCCGGCTCCCGAGATGAAAAGAGAAAGAAGCGGTTTCGCTTAAACGACGTACAAAATAGCGTGGGGTCGATATTGTCCCGCTCATTGTTAGAGTCTGACATGACTTCTGCTTCGTGTTTGAGTCCTGAGGCTGCCTTCAGGTGCTTTTCATACTGGGTGTTAATCTTAGGTTTGCCCTGGAACAGACTCAAACGCAAAAAGCGATCAGAGCTCTCAACCTTCCCCAGCACTTTGACGACCTTGTTTTTCTCAACATTTACCACTTTGATACCTGCTAGTGTCGCATACAGAATAAAGTACCCCGATTCGTCAAAGATGCAGTTGGACACGACATCCGAGTTGGCCAGCTCTCGTTCAACAGCCGCTCGACGGCCAAAGTCAATAGCATCCAGATGCAGTGTGTCATCGGCCTGTGCATCCTCAAAAACGGCCAAACTTTCGTCGTATTTGCGCCGCATCTTGCCCGTGTCAAACCTGAATACTCGAATTTGGTTGTCTTTTGCTGTGACCACAAAGCTTTTGCCATCAGGCGAGACATCAATCGCCGTAGCGTATGTCTTACTCTTGGCCAGCTCGTACAGATTCGTCTCACCTTTGAACCGGAACTTGGCCACCTTCCTGTCCGTCGGAAATCTGTACGAGTCAGCGTCCCAATATTCAATGATACCCTTTTGATCAGCTGAAATGACACAGTTAGTCACCGGATTAAAGGCCAGTGCTGTGACTGGTGCAGCATGTAGCTGGCTAATAGTGTGCAAGGGCTCATTAGCCGTCGTGTAGATCCTCACGGCAGGACTGTTCCTGTCTGCTACGGCCACTTTTGGCTCGATGGCTCCTTTAGCTGAGATCCAGCTACAGTTTCCTGGAGTAAATGTCACTGCCAACATGTTGACCATATCAAAGGAAAGGACGTCGTACAATTTGATGCTCCGGTCGGCTGATGTGCTACAGAGACGTAGACCGTCGGCTGATACGGCCAGATCATGCACTTCTTCAAGATGGGCCTTATAATGCTTGACAAACTCAATACCACGAGTCATTTTTTTCCAGAACTTGACGTGACCGTCGACACTGGCCGTGATAATGAACTGAGTCTCTGGGGCGACTACTACGTGCGAGACTGTGGCTCGATGCATGAAGCTGCGCTCGTACATGGCTGCGCAAGGCAAATTGGCTACATATGCAGCCTCAAATGGAAGTTTCTTGTGCTTTTTCTTGCTAGGTTGCATTGGCATTGGCATTGGCCCGTCATCATCTGAGCTGACCGCGTCTTCGCGAGCATGGAGAGATTTATCGGCCATGACGAATTATACTCTGAGGAGCTCAATTACGAATAAAAACGATCAGATGTAGCTATATCGTGTTTAAAGGGTACAGAGGTGCTGGGATTGAGTCGACATAAAAATTACACAAATTAGGACTCGATGTCTAACGCTATAAATGATCGCTAGAGGAATATACTTATAACTAAACATTTGCTGTATATAAGGATAATATGTGCACGTCGATTCCGATTGTGAGTCAGATTTGTTTGCACCGTTGTTAAAGCTTTTGGCGTGCTGGCCTCGCCGATGTAACGCGTTGGGTCGCATGTAGACTGAATACACAGGCTGAGTCACACCCTTTGAGTTAAAATTCCGCTAGTGGTTGCAACTCCATATTCGTCAGCACAGACAACGTATTGTTGGTGCTCACATCCACACACTTGCCTATGCAATCGCTATCAATGGACTTATCGGCTCTTCTAGTTGCGGATTACAAGTGCCGTCACATAATTAAGTCGCATTTGACTTAGCTCCAATTCGTGTCTAAATGCATTCGGGCTAAGTATTGCTCTTAGTGAGTGCCATGGTACAGACCTCCCTCCAATTAGTTTTCCTTCGATACCTTATAACCTTCGGTTGGCTATCAAATTTCGCGTCCACTCCTATTCTCTTCGATGGGACTAAGAAGCTCCGAAGTCGTCATGGAATCTCGGACACGCAGCTGATCTAGCTGGTCTCTCAGCTCCGCTCCAGATTTGCTTTTTATTTATTATATACAATACACAAACTCCGACTACTTATAACCTTTATTAAGTTATGGGTATTGTCGTTCACCGTACTCATAACTTTACTGAGGGAGCTCTGTACCGCATTCACAGTTAATCAAGTTGAAGCAAGAGATTAGCGCCTGTCTCCAGTGAAGCGAATCATCTGCTAGCTTTGCCGTGTCCTCAAAAGTTGTTACGTTGCGTTCGTCAACCTATATGAATCATCACTGGATGATCCATGGAAGCTCTCGGTACTAATGTACTAGATGCAGCATCTGAATGTTGTGCCAATACTACTCGAACCATCCGGTGACGGGAAAGTGGACGACGACATTCCAGCAGGAGAGACAGCACTAAATGCTATTTGACTAGGTTGTTGCTGGTAGAAAGTGCTCCAAGTAAGTCAGCTCATTGCCTGCGGTAATCATCTGACCTGGTAGCTCTCCGGGACCGTTAACATCTCAAGCTTTCACTTTATCCTCTTAAGACTACATTACCCCCATGCTCATACCAAATGATATGCGCGTAGACCAGTGAGCCTTCCTGGACGCGTGCGGATATCCCGGATAATGCCATCATATAACAGTTATCAGACGTGCCGGCCATAGGGTCCCATCAGACAGACCGCGACGTTTTGTAATTGCAGCATTTTATTCTTCTAGGTTGATATAGTATGCTCAACTACGCTGCAATTACTTGAATTACATTTCTTGACGTCGGTATGGACCCTCAGCATCAGACGTCAATAATTGATGCAAGTAGATAGTATGGCAACTTGGAGCTCGAGTGGTGCATCGACACCAAAACTCCCTGTATCTTAATAATTAGTTGCTGCTTTCTGTGCCTCGTTCATTGTTTTGGGGTGGGAGTGCGTGGTTACAGTCCGAGAAGCTTGAGGCAGAAATGACTACGAACGTTCTAATGCTGTACCGTCTAGAAGACTCGCTGACTACTGTACAGGTACCTTTGCTTTTTCAAATCAGATGTTTTGTCCTAAGATGCCAGTCCTTGCGGCACACGAGTATCAGATTACATTCATAAGACATCACAATTACTACGATGCCTTTGAATGAATCCTTGTAAGCAGGGTCCAAAGAATCTGACGTGACAAGTCGTCGGGCGAATTTTAATTTACTTAGTTAAAATAAATCATTGAGGAATATTGTAGTAATTAAGAAGCAGCTAAAAGTGAGTCAGTACATGTATCATTGTCATAAAAATGAGAGCTTGTCATCTTACAGTGAAAAAAGTCCTTCTATAAATTTCAAAAAGGGCGAACCGTTCTCAAAAAAAAGTTCGAAAAAATCATATTTTCGATACGGGCCCGAGCTCTGTAACCTTCCATCTCTTCGTCTCCTCCACAATGTTACATGCTTTGTATTTATCCAATCCAGAACATTCTATACGGCCGCCAAGTCGTGGTTGTTCATGACGTTGTGCAGCGCAGAATATGAAAAAAAGTATAGAATGCATTAACTCCAAGGTCATTGACTACATCTTCATTGTTTCAGCGAAAAAAACGATCTGCACATGCAACTACTTGAACGTCTTCTTGTTGGCGAAGAACCTCCGACCAATTGAGGAGAGGATGTCCCCAAATTAACTACTTTTTAGACAGTCGGTTGATGAATATTTCAGTGTGCCGAGTTTTTTAAGCTGACGAAAACGAACCGAACAAGTTACACCCATACTCCCGTTGTCTTCTCTTCTACTCGCCACCGCAGCTCAGCCGTTACTGCACTCAATTGCTCTTTGAGGTCGATCAGATCATCCACAAACCTTTGAATCTTTTTGGCTTGGTCCCGCAAAAAATACTTGCCCAATTCCCCACTCTTTTTCTGCCTCCAACTTGACGTGCAGGACTGGATGCACTGAATGACGCCGTCATTTCGCTCCAATTGCTGCTGTGCTTTGTTTTCAGTGGGAATGCCGTATCCTTTTTTCTTTGCGAGACAGAGCAAATTGATCTCATTCTCAGTCCGCGCTAGTCTGAAGTGCATCATTACAGTGAGATCTTGCAACGCAGAGATGAACGTCTCACATCCTGCAATGCGTCGTGCCTAGAATACCAAGAGAGTATCGTTAGTAATTGCTACAAATACTTTCTTGTAGTTTGCGAGAATCAGCTCGACTCACTCTCTTGTTGGTTCGAAACTTCCTGTCGTAGGACCGTTGCAGCTCGCGCTGGGTCTCGGTCTTGAGTCGTTTCGATCTCGCTGTTTGACATGTCGTAGTCACGCTTTGATCTTGTAAATCCTCACTGTCGCTTCCTTCACCCGACGTGGTCCCTGCCACGGAAAACTCACCCTCATCGACGTATTCGTTCAACTGGAACGAGGACGCACTCTGAGATCTAATGGCAAATCCGCATTGAATTATCTCGTCGAGACTCAACTCGTTGAGGAAAGTGCTCACAGCATTCAGCTCGAGGTCTTGGTAGGTCATGTCGTCAGCGACTTGGAAAAGTCAGAATGAGCAGACTTGACTGAGTAAATGAGTGGAATTTGACTCGCTATCGTTGGATTGAGCCTCCTTTGAGGTAAGTGCCGTCATCTGAGATGGGCTGCATGCTACTGTCCTGTAGTCAGGATTCAAGTGCCGATCTGTCGGGTTATGTATGCCTCAATATTTCATAGTTTACGGCAGACCACCCCGACCTTCGGAAGAAGACGGTGCATGTCCTTTATGGCTGCCCAATTTTTAGCCACGACCGCGCTATGCTTACAAAGCAGACGTCCACCTTCCCTGTCTATTGTAGTGATAAAGTGAGATCTCTAGCATAGCATAATTGCCAAGACTAAAGGTATCAAGAAACAGCTTAAGTGGACACTGTAGCAATCATGTTTTTTTATTCGCATTCGTTCCGGGTCGACTTGGGTCCACCAAAGTGAGGCGCTTTGACAAAGACAATGCCCTTGTACAAATCAATTGGGTGGCTCATCTGTAGCCGTAGCCATACGATGACTGAATAGGTCCCACTCGGCGGGACATCCGATGACACCTCACCAAGACTCCCAGAAATCAGGTTTTTGACCGAAGTGGAACAATGACAATCTAGTACTACAGTGTGAGGACTTTTGTAGGTTGATAAGCGCAACAACGAACCCTGACCGAGAACGTTGTGGTTATTTTTCTACTTCCAATATGCACGTCCGTAATCAAACGGTTCTGCTTTTATGTGTGCCGTGTAAACCTGTTTACTTATATTTTAGGAGCTCGTGCAACGCGACGACAAGTGCGAGGTCCAGCACTGATCAGCTCAGACAGTGTTTGAAGTTAGCGAGACATCACACCTGTTCATTTACGATTTTAAGCGTAATACCCCGGATACTGAGGTTCGATCACATGATGCAGTAACTTAATGTATGCAGTTTATTAAATGCATACGTTTGTTTTTCGTAGTGTACGATCAAGCGGCGTCGTTAGTCGGACCGAGTTTCAAGATGACGATGCTGAGTCTACCTTTATCACCAACTAAAGTGGCGCTGCTGAATTGGTGCATAGGGGTGGAACTGACGAGGGCCAAGCACAGCACAACGACCAATGACCTTGTCGGCGCTGTGCCGCCACTCGCTGGTCGTACGCAACTGATTTTTGTCAGAGTACTCACGGATGCGCGAGATCTTTTCCCACGCCTGAAGTGACCGCATGGCAATTTGATCCTGTCGGAGCGCACGCTCCTCGAGCTTTAGTAGCAGCAATTTACAGCGCAACGTGTCGTGATTCCCAGCCTCGGTGCGGACATAAGGTCTGCAGAACTTCTTGCGGGTGTCGTCCAACTTCATCTCGAGGGCCAGCCACATGTCCCGCTGTACTTTGAGGTCACGCTGTGAATGGATGGATAACACAAGGAGACACACAGTTGGTATAAGAAAATGACTCATGATCTTTATACACTATATATATACTCACTCTTTTGCGTCCTCGGTAGCGTTTCTCGTACCCACGTTGACGACGTCGAAGTCGCTCCTTGTCCTCATCGTCGCTGATTGTGTCATCATGGATGACGTACACCGGTAACGGTTGCGAGAAGGTATTCTCGGACAGGTAGCGTGTATGCTTCGGCTTAACGAAAACGTTATCGTTAGAGGGTGTCAAGACAGGAATCTCCTGCTTCATCAATGGAGGATAGTCTTCGGCAAACCCTTCGCATGGAGGTAGATAGACCACGGATGAATGCGAGCTAGGTGAGACACAGTCCTTTGAAGTTGTAGGAAGATTTAAACTAGACGAGTTTTCTACTGGAAAGTCTTGAAGTAGTGTTGAGTGAAAATCGTCCATTGCCAAGAGGTGAATATCAAGATCCTCAGCGAAGAGATACCCGGCAGTCGGATGCGTGGCTTCGAACGGGTATGCGTCATCCATGTTTGATCGGACGTCTGACTGCACGAAAGAGTTCGAATTGGAAACTGACGGTCATGTAGTTGCAACGGCAAGGTCTCACTCATAATTGTGCTACCTAAAACAACGGAGACGAAGCATGTGATTGTGTGGTTGTGGAGCTCAACAGCAAGAGCGCGATCCAAACGGTTTTTGGCAGTCATCCAAGAGCAATGGCTTATGGGCGTAGTTAAATGAGATGGGATAGTAGCATAAACGTCGAGGAACAATGCGCGCAGCGTGCAATGAGATACATTCGCTAAGACTGAAAATGATGTTACGCTGGATAGTTGCGCATCCACCTTCCGACCTTCTATTACTCTCGAGTTGAATACAAAACACGGAACCACCGTACTTTATTACAATGTTAGTGGAAAAAGGGGACTCATGCTCTGCTGCTACAAGTTTACTCGTTTACTGGAAATTGTTCCGTAGAGATTAGTTAAAGAATGATGTAGCACAAGAACCACGACAAGTCATTCCGAATTTCGAGCAACATTCTGTTAAAAGCTGTAGTAGGACAACTCATCAACCAACGAGAAAGTAAGCTTGACGTGTCACTACGAAATTGATCATCACGATGTGAGACAAATAGAGTAGAATAACGACGAGCGACGAGAGATGCACAAACGGAAGCTCTGTACTGAACTGCCCAACGGTAGATGAGAGTTTTACCACGCGGATATATGGTACCGATAAAAGACCCATGCTTTCGCCACCACTTTCACTATATCAATGGCCAGTGCTGGAGGCTGCATCAGCTCCTATACATCGAAATCACGGCTTAGGTACATGACATTCTGGCGTGTCGTCTATTACTCAATGATGCCCTGCTTTCATTTCGTAGTGCATCTTTTAGAGCTAACCATGAAAAAAAGAGTTTCCACGGTCTGGCAGCTCGAGCAATTGCGAGCCCTCTATTGGGTTGTTAGCTTGAAAACACGCAGCGATGAGACGCCAAGCTGCGCCTTGTATCGATCGCACCGGGCTTCGTTTTATTGTCGGAGCGTCTGGGAAATCCATGCTGCTTATAGATAATCCAGCGCTGTCAAAGACAGCAAGCTCTAGCACCTTTATTGCGGGCTACAAGTGGTGCTGGAATTGGGTAAGCATAATTCATTAAAGCTCGAGCATTTCTCGCTGAATTGCGAAGCTTCGAACAACTTCCATAATAAATTTATTGAACTTGTTCGCACCGCAGTCCACTCACAAAATCCATTTTCCGATGGTCGTTGTTGAATCGACGACATTGATGCTAAAATATCTGACTCCCGAAGCAGATGTTGGACAGAAACCCTGGCGGGCTTGCTAGGTGGACTTGGCTCTTCTACAAAGTTAAGCGTAGCGAAGTCTGCTGTATGCCACGCACTAGTAATTTGCTTTCTCCTTGTCATGTCCACCACATCCCGTTACGGTACATACATTGTCCATGTGAACGAAGTTTACCGAAATTGTCAACTTCTGGTTGAAAACGACACGGGTCATCCGAAGTTGCTAAAAATCCCGCGTAGTTTAATAATGCCCTGGCTGAGATTGTGGGTGATATCGCTTGCAATCATTCGTAGCCGTCTTCATTGGTCGCCGTTATTTAGACTTGTAGCATGTTTTATATGCATTTTTTGTACATCTTGTTGCGAATGGCGATGCCTTTTAACTGATACATTCAGTTGGAACCCGATTCGATGGATCACTAATCCACTGGCATTTTTAGCGTCTTCTTGGTGCTCTTTAGAACACTTCGACAAAAATATCATTGAAAAGACGATTCCTGTCCCAGCTCAGCACCTACTGCTCAACAACATGAAAATCAGTGGCATTCATGTCGTCAAAAAAGTGACCAGAAGTGTCAATACTTTGGTGGACGTCGTGTAATAATGTTGTCGAGGTTGGTGGTGCATTCAACAATAGCAATATTTAGGCGTCTATGTAATTCTAAAAAACACAAAAATACAAAATGGTAGACAGCTATTCAAATCATAAATTAAAATTTATTAAGAAATGCATTAAATCGAACCTATCCACTTCTTGATTCTATTTTCCCTCTCTTAAAGACTACAATCTATAGTACTATTCTGGCATTTTTCAAAAGAAGCTCCATGTTGTTTGCAATTTTGAAGCCATTCGAGGATCTTCCATCGAGCGATATCATCAAGTAGAGGTCTCTTGACAATTTTTGGCCTTAATGCAGAAGAAGTTAAGCTGGTGAATTCTCACGTTGTTTGTTCTTCCGAGGAAACAAAAAGAGGGCTATTGATACATTAACATCAAGACGCGGCTATCAAAAATATAATTTGTTTTTCTTGCGGAAATTTAGTGTCGTCCCTGACGTCGATTTTGTCGTTAGTGAGGGTTTGTTACAACTTAACACCAAAGACGGGAACGCGTGATCGCATGTGAGCCTCGTCTACAACGAAATAAAAGCTCCTGAGTTTAAGTGAATGGCTTTATATAAAACGCTGTATGCTTTTGTCAAACTCAGTATCTCTTAACCGGCTTGGTTCAAAGCCGTTCATAGCCATGCATCACTAAGCGCTGTGATTCGGTCGCCATAACTCTTACGAGGTAGCACTTTTTCTTTGCGTCATACAATTTAAGGTGAGTTACAATGCGGCGCGACTGTGCACCTTTAGCTTGCAGGTATTTGTCGAGCACTAGTGTAATTATCTGGAGAGATAACGACGCTATTTAATCCAACCTCGACATCTGAGTCGTGGAATACACGCGATAGGTTCTTGCTACAACTAAAATATGTCTGGCATCGGCTGCATTGAACAACATCCAGCAGATCGGGTGCGAGACATGGTGTGAATGTATCGTAAATGAGTTCTGCTTATCGTAATCTTTGTGCTCAAACCAGGTGTGCCGCAGACGTCGGACGAGCGGCAACGTTGATTATAGACAAACGCCGATGAGACCGTATACAGAAGTCAGCAAAGCTACTACAAATTAAGTGGAACTTATGTTTGTCTGCTCCGTCTTTCTCTACAATCCATTTAGCAGCCGATTTGCGGCCGCCTCCACATTGTTGTACGTAAACTGAAGCGCCTGTATTGCGCGCTCTCTCTCGAATCCGAGGGCCTGACAAGACACACGCACGAGCAATTAGATATATGGTCAAACACTTCCATCTCTTCAGCTTGAGCTTTTCTTACTATCAATTGCTGAATCGCATCTTCAGACGGAGGTGCTGCGGCCATTTGAGGAGGCAACATGCCGCCACCAACAGCGGCCGCCGCAGGGCCACCACCAGGCAGCATCCCACCAGCCCCTGGCAGTAACTGGTCATGAAAACCTTGACCCCCAACGACCGGTGCGGCTGGATGGCCTCGATTGTAACGTCCATTTAATCGACGCTGTGCTTCGATTGCCCGCCGATGCCGTTGGAGCGCCAATGTACTCGCAGGGACGACCTCAAACAGAGGGTGTAGTAGACCAAACATCGAGCACACAAATGATGGTAGTCTCAATCGTCCAAGTGGCGTCGAATGAAACAACATTCCTAGCATCGATCCACCTAAAAACGGAATCAAGGCGCGGAAGTCACACGCCAGCAACTGAAAAAAAGGCAATAAAAAAACGTGAGCTTGTCAGATCATCAAAAAATATTCACCTTTGACATAAACACCCATACCACGACTATAAGCAAGTACGTGCTCGACTTGTCCGAGAAGGGCAGACCCCACACACTAACTGTTCGCGGTTGCAGCTTGGGAATATATCCTGAAAGTAAGAGACCAATAAAAAAATACATTAGTCAACCTTATCCATATACTACACCGAAAAGGACATGTAGCCACAACTTACTGTTAAAGTAAACAGCTAGAGCTCCGAGAACGGGGTAAGGTCCTCCCGGAATGAATTCCACCAGTGATGATGAGACCGACGACAGAGCTGTCAGCTGTAGCGCCCCTGAAATAAGCATCACAAAAACCACGACACTTCCAAATTTCCGAGAGCCCAATTGTCGCTCGAGAACTCGAAACTGGAACACAACGTAGAGACCAAGAGAGACTGCCAGTCCACTGCAAGAATGTTAATGCTAGTCTAAAAGTAACACTAACAATAGACATCATAAGATAATACCACGTACTGTTGGAACGTCATTTGGCTCGAGAATAAGCGCCAATACTGAGAACGAATGAGCACTGCATCTCTGTCCAGCGCCAGGACGTGACCACGGTCCAACAGCAAACTAGCAGAACTGGCGACACCCACTGCGAGTGAATAAGCGTAGGTAACAGGTGCACCATCTACAAGCAGTCATAGACAGGTGAAGGTTAATTAAAGATATAATGAAGGGAAGAAGGACACGTACAGAAGCCACGGAGGTCGGAGTGCATTTTGAAATGGCCACGTAAAAATGAGCGTAATGAAGTAACAGAGTGAAGTGAGCAGATAATATGTAGTACTGTGACAAGTCGATTACGTACGACCAACTTCAACATGCAATATTAACGGTAACCATTTCGCGCAGCTTAAAATGTACAAGTACAAAAAAACTGTCTTTATCGCCTCATTGCATAATGCCGACGCTATTCTTGCGCGAGGTCTCCATCTTCAAGCTTTTATCTTAGACAATCAAAGACTGTCGCTCATAATGTTAGCCATACCATTTCAGTACGTTTCCAAACTCAAAGACGAACTTTCCTACCTTCTTTAGTAGACGAAAACAAAAAAATATATCAATCCACAAAAAAGCAGCACGCAGCAATCTATTGGAACGGAGAAAAGTAGAAGGTATGTCCATGGGGACACATGTACTGGCCAGCTTGACTGCCTGGGGGCATCTGCACGCGCGTATAGCACGTGGGGCATTGACGCATGATGGGCCTGGATCCTGAAGTTGCTGGGACTGATCCACCTCCTGTGAAGCTCTGCCGTAAGCCCTGCGAGCTGCCCATGGTCGGTGGCATCCGCAATTGGAACAGATGGCCATTGGGACACTGAAGCGTGCCACGCGCCGTAGTGCTCACTAGACAGCGGATACGACATGTGGGGCACTCCACCACCACGTTACTTCTTGCTGCTGCCGCTCGAGCGCGTTCCTGTGCTGTTGGGGTGTGGGCCAGTGATTGTCCACATCCGTCGCAGAATTGTCCTCCTGATCCTCTTTTCCCGCAATTTGTACCTATCGGATTCCAAAACCGACACCACACAATGTTAAGTAATTTATTCTAGCCTTGACTCATAACACACACTCCACAATCATTGTAAACCTATGGCTTACAATAAGGATGGGCTTTAACAAGTCCTTCCGTCTGTTCAGGCCACTGCTTCTGCGTTTTACGGCAAATTGGGCACTTGTCCGAGTTAGCTTCGTCATGGTTGACATTCTCCAACAAGCAGCTAAAGTGGAAGCGGTGGCCGCACTCGGCTGTGAACAGCGCGCGTCCCAGCGTTAGTTCGTCCAGACAAATGACGCATTCGGGAGTGTCCTCCATGACGGCTAATGGGACGTTCTTATTACTTTCCGAAGACATTACAGGATCGGCAGATGCAGGCGCAGCAGGAGCAGGACTAGGTGTGCTATTATCGTATGCGGCGCGGTGCAAAGGACGTCGACGCGCCTCTACATCGCTCCATCGCCGCACTCGCACGGCCATCTCGGGAAGACGATGACGGAAGAAAATGATTGTAACAATTAGTATCCAGTTAGAAGTACACGTACAGTCGAAACGTTGAATAGAAGACCGCGTACTAATGTACTGTACTGTAGTGTACGTACGGATCGTACACTTTCTGTACAGAGCACCACCAAACGATTTTCAAACTCAGAAACCAACGAGCTCCGTAGAGATCAGACCGTTACTTTAAACAATGGGCAGCAGCCTCTCCGTATGTGGCTTTGGCGACAGCGACGGCGACCACGACGCGCAACTGGTGCGTGTACATGTATTTGTTTTCATTTGATGAGAGAATAGAAAGTGCTAATGGGACTGCTTTTTATGCAAATGCAGTACCACGAAAGCAAAGACTTTGCTCAGGACTTTGACAGGTTGGCAGCTGAGCGGAAACGTTCTCTCTCCATGACAACAGACTCTTCTGTCGCGTCTATCCTGTCCAACTCGGACCAACTTATCCCGGACGTTTTTCTGCCTAAAGACATTCAGGTGCTTTCTCAGCGTAGACAGCGCCAGCATCACCACAGCAAGAACTCGTCAATGGGGTCGTCCCGAGTCAGCAACTCGTCGTATCGAGGTGTGGGCTCTGTGCACGTAGCGCGCAATGCTGCTGACAAAATCTCTGGCAGTGTGAATAAAGCTTACGAGTTTGGCATCAAGACGGCGTCTTCCAGCTTTGGCTATAGCGATGACGAGAGCAACAACCCCGTAGTTGTGTCCAATGCTGTAGTCTGTCTGCCCAGGATTATCAAGTAAAGTGAGACGGTGGGTCAAAGAGCTAGGATGTACATGAAACAGGTAGTTCGATATTAGTGTACGATTACAAGTGGACGAGTAGGTAGGTGATGAGTTAATAAAGACAAGAAAGGAGGTAGCAGATGGCGGTCGTGTAGGCAATAACGTTATGACCGTCTGTTCTTCTTCAAAAAGTTATTCTCACGACATCTCTCACTTGTTGACGACGACCTGAAGCTCCTTGATTTTCCGTCTACACTCGCGATAGGCTTTGCTCTCCTTTTCGCACTCTTCTCCATCACGCAGGCCTCCGCTTTCGGCGGTCTTCGCTTCCACGCACCTACGCACAACATACACACAAAAAATGCCTGAGTCTTCTCGTCTCCTTGGGATTCGTATGGCTACAATGTCCTCCAAGTCGTGCAAGCAAAAGCGTGGCACTTACTTCACGTAGGTATCCATTTCGCTTGCACATGGATTCGGTAGTGCCGCTGGTTTGGACGCTTTGGCGCCCATTACAGTGTGGCTTCCTGACCGTGGAACGTACTTACTGATACAATGCCCAGGGCTAGAAAACGGCCGGCCACCATGCGAGTTCAAGTAGTGCAAGCATCAGAGCCTTTAGATGAAGCTAAAGCAGTAGATGCACTTGGGAAAAAGTCTGCAATTGTACGTAGCAATGATCGTCCGGTCGATGGGCAATCATTACTGACGAGTTCCATATGAACAGGCCCAAGCTCTTTCTCATGAGATCACGTCGGCAAATCTGTTTGCACAATGCCAGTGGCTGTTCAACAGCAGCAAACTTTGAGGCTCTCTATCGATGCAGATGATAGCGTCGTAGGGTTCCTGAAGACTGGAAGGAAACACTTGTTTTACATGGTACCGTACTAATGCCTTGCCATTACTTAGTCGCAACGATAATGCTATGTCGTATTTGATACAAACGCTGTAGTTGCTGCTGCTAGAGTCCTAGAGGCAAGTACATTGAAATGGATCCACTATGCGTGCTCGACTTCTACGTCGATGAAGCTTGGCAGCATTGTGGCGTGGGGCTACAACTCTTCCATCATTTTCTACAGGAAAAGAACATCCTACCTGATCAACTAGCATATGACCGCCCGTCACCCAAACTCTTTGCCTTCCTGAAAAAACACGCCGATCTGACCAAGTACTTCCCGCAGCCCAATCACTTCGTTGTTTTCGATGCGTATTTCCTTCCTTGTCCGTAAGAATTGATACCATGCAATGACATAATGACTACGTAAATTCCGCACGGACTTCACTTTTCAATAGACGCCAAAAAAGCTTTAACCTTGGCATCTGCATTGCTAAGATTCTCAGTCGTAGCCTGATGAAACTGTGCCTCAATCTGTCGTCCAGCAAAATACCGCCCGTTCATCACTTTTTGACATGCGAGAGCTGCCTTTAACTCTGCGAAGCACACGATTACAGAACCATGTGCTACAACTTGAACACGCTTCACAACTCCATGTCTCTCACATTCCACACGTATGTCTTCTTCCAAATCAGTAAAGAACGCAGCATCGCTGCTGTCAAGTGAGTCCCATACATTTTTTAGAATGACGGAGTCTGACGGCAAGTCCAAAGGCGGCTTCTCATCGGTTGAACCAACTTTCAACGGCGCAGATGCTTCATAGTCTGTAGTCACCTGACCAATGCCGTCAACGTCTTTACTCTTCTCAATGTTCTTCACCTTTTTGCTTGAGAAAGTTGCTTCGATTGCTCTACGCATTTGAACTCATCAGCACTACTTGCCAACTTCCATTCAGCTTTCAAACACACTTACGTGATAATCACTCCCGGTTTAACTTCAAAATGGTTCAGCTACGTCGAGAAGGTACGAGACATGAATGAGCATCAATGCATCCATGTTACTCATGTACAATACAAATGAAGACTATTGACCCAAGGACCAAGGGATAACAAACAGTCTTACCCTGTCAATAGCCTTCGTCATCGTGGCACGCGAGCTAAACGTTACCACTGCGTCACCCTTAAGTCCTCCTCTATCATCCTTGTAGAACTTAATACGTCGCACTTTGCCAAGTTTGGTACAAGCGCCCTCTGCACATTCCGGCACAAGAGCAGCGTGTCAGTCTTTTACTTCTTCCATTATTAGAAACTAATCAACAGACGACAGACCGAGTTGTCTACAGGCCATGTACGTCGTAAGACCCGTAATGTAAACGCTACTGTTGCCTTTCATTCCTCCTAATGCAGACGCTGATCGCCTAATACTTGAGCCGACAGCCAAGAGCTCGTCCACGGCTTGAGAAGCCTCGTGCTCATCCTTTCTGCAGTCGATAAGCACGGATTAGAGAAGAAAATAGTGGTAATGATGATATTAATGAAAATACACCACTGACTGACGGATGTACGCGAGGTTCTTGGCGCGAGCGCGCTCGATTCGCTCGGCGTCTGCGTTCATTGCTGTAAAATTATGTAAAGGTGGAGGCAGATTTGATACCGGTTTATTACGGTAATTACGACGGTAGCTTTCGTTCAAAAAACGAGAAGCCAGCTTTTTAATGCTTTAAATCATTTTCTACGCGCCGTTTATGCGCAACATTTACGTAGCTCAATTGTGTGCTCACTTTGTAACGGGGTTACACGACGGTTGGATAGCTATATCTAGAGGTGGTACCCAGACTCAGACTCAGTGGGTAATTACCCATACCCAGACTCATGGGTTGGGTATGGGTAAATGGCTTCAATTAGCCAGCTTACTCATGGGTACTGTAACGGGGCGAGCCCGTTACATAATATTGACACTTATATGAAGTGTCAATAAAAATATTATTATAACTAATAATATTTTGACAATATTATCTTCTCTTATAATATTGTTCCTAGATCTCCTTGAAGTTGGAGATGCCCTCTCATTGGTTGATATGGGCCATCATATCAACCAACGCGCTGACCAATGACCGATGGACGCGCGCAATGAGTGGAGGGCAAGTTGTCAACATACATAGTTGTAGTTTAATATAGTTAACATAGGTTATAACAGATTAGTTTTATTAAGATAGTTAACTATATTAAATACAGTTTTCTTTTCCTCTACTTCTAAGCGTTTGTTTAGAAGTAAAGCTTCCTCTGCCTCTTGTGTAAGAGAGATAATTGAGGCACCTGCTTTCACTGTAATCAGTGAAAGTAGACTATACTGTAATCAGTAGAGTCGGAGGGTGCCCCATTACAGGTACCCATGGGTAAATGAACCAAATTTTTGGGACATCCATCAGACACACCTGCTCCACCACCCTTCATCTCTCTATCTTCTTTACACTATACAATCATATAATAAACCCGTCACCCATCACTTTTCATCTGACACACATTATTGATGGAAGACAGTCAGGACTTGTCCATTACTCCAATGGTTAGTGTAACCTCGGTTACTCCAGTCAAACAGGATGCAAACCGTACTGTGTCGAGCACTTCTGCTGGTATATAGAAATCTTGGGTTTACGATTACTTCATATTGAAAAAAACCAGCCAGGAAACAACCAGGAGTCGCCAAAGCAAAAAAAGCAATTGGTACATATGCAGCACAATGTTCGAATTTTTTTAAGTGTATTAAGGGCACCGGTACCTCCAACCTGATCAGACACCTGCGGGAGCAACATCATATAAATCAAGATGGACCAATAACAGCCGAATAGTCGCCGATAATGAGACTTTGGATGCATTTCTTAATCGGAGCGGAAAAAGACTGAGAGGCACTGAAGAAGTACGTATACCAGATGTTTTCACGTGATGTATCAATGCAATACTATCATTAGCTGCTAATTCGTACTCACTATTTACAATAGGAAATCCTTACGCAGGAATCTTTGAAAACTCGTATTGTAGAGTTTTTTGCGGACGCAGATATTGCCTGGGCAGAGGTGGAAAGAAAAAACATTCAGGGACCTTCTAACATTTTGCAATCCAAGAACTTCTACAATGATAGTAAAGCGAAAGGCGCTTACCGAGCACGCATCTGAGATGCACGTCCAAATTTTACAAAGTCTAGTGCAAGTGATTCAATGTTATTTGAGGGCTTTATGTAACAGGGCATCTAACTACACGTAAACATTAAGTAATATACTTAATTTTTGGTCTAAAAGTATCCATGATTACTTTTGACCTGTCACTTGGGTGCGATATACAAATGTGATCCACCCTCGTGAATGTGATATCCATTTATGGACTCACATGAGAAGGGATGACCTTAGTTGAATCTAGGCATCGCAACGTCTCAGAAGAACGTCAGCTGCGATCTTAAATCTAGATTTAAGATCATGCGACAGGATACGCTTCTAAAGAGTCGCGTATCCGATCTATATACATATATAGCCAATCAGTAGTTAAGTATATATTTAGTTATAATTCATTAAATATAACTCAGTCTTGACTATACTAAAACGAAAGCACCACGCACGAGAAGCCGAAAAGCTTTTACGTGACGTCGGTGCCTTCTTGTCTTAAATATTCGTTGCACTCTCGCTTAAGCGTTAGGCAACTGGTGGTACGACTGTTTAAGCAGTCGAACAGCCGCATTACCACCCTCGCACGCGAAGGTAAGACGGTCTAACCACTTCCTCGCTTGTGCATAAGGTGTGTGCTAGTAGCACGAGGCAACTTCGTAGAAGTGCCCGTCTACACTTGGTAGAACTAGTAGTCCTTCCCACGACCCGTCTCTCTGAGCGTGTGTGTGGTTAAGATGGTCCTTAATATGGACTGGAGTGACTTCCCTCACCTCTCCCAACATCATAGGGAGTTGGCAGAGCATATGGCGCAGGGACTTGGTGAACAAGCCGTGGTCAACCTCTTGCATTTCCCCCTGAGCAACATGTTGCTCAGTTGGAGCAATTTGAGGCATTTGTGCTCGGACAGCGTAGAAACGCGTCCGAGGTAAACAGCCAAGCCACCGCTGAGTCCATCAGTAAGACTCAGGATGAGCTTCGGCTTGAGCAGGCACGTAATGAGGCGCTCAACAGAACTGTTGAGACGCTCTCTGCCCGGCCTACTCAATTGAGGCCCATTCGGATGGACCCTCCGAAGTTCGATGGAACTAGCCCTCACACGATTGTTCACTGGCTAGTAGAAGTTGAGCAATGTGGAGTGGCGCAGCTCATCGAAGACGACACCAGAATGGTGTCGTATGCCATGTCCAACTTGCGTGGCAAAGCGTCAGAGTGGGCATACTCTGCGCTGATGGCAAATGCTGATGCATTTCCATCATGGGCGATCTTTAAAACAAAGATTCGCGCCATGTATCAGCCGCCTAACAACGAATGTTGCTTATGGCGCTATTCTTTGGAGCACGACAAGCGAAACGCTCTCTGCAAGAATTTGTGCAGGAGATGCGTTCGCTGTCGGCGTCCATCAATGGGAACCTATACCAGAGCGTATCAAGGTAGCCACGTTCATGAATGGACTTAGGCACGGCCCATCGCTTCAGGCCCTTTTCAGAAAGGTGCCAGCGACGATGGAAGAGGCAATTGAAATTGCTTTAGTTGAGGAGCAATCCTACAACAGCGCCTCGGCGACAGCCTATCACAGGTCGTCGTCCGAGAAGTCTGATGCCACTCCTATGGAGTTAGGCAATGCAGATGTGATCTGCTATAAGTGCGGCAAGCGAGGCCATATGATGGCTCGCTGCTACGCCAAAGTAGCTGCTGGTGCTAAGGCAGCCAGCAAAAGGTCCCCTAACCCGAAGGGAGGTGCGATAAACCAGCGTGCACGACGCACGGGTTTAGTACCTGCCCAAGATGGGTCGGGAAATGCGGGAGCGCAGTAGGGGCGGGATGCCCTACTGTCGCGGACTCTGAAGCTACCCTTAAGTTCAGAGTGATCGAACAAATGGGTAGCATAGTCCCTGAGGTTCGGAAAGGTCGGACCTCAACCCTTTTGGTTTATAGCGCTCGAGTACGAGGCTATGACCAAGTGATGACCCTTCTCGTGGATTCGGGTGTGTGGTGAAGTGCTGATTTTGTGATGTGGAGGTCCCAGAATCCAGTTGGATTCGGAGTATAGACCGTGGGTCAGGGACAGGGGACCAGAGAGACAGGGGCCTCGAAGGGGAGCGACCGTTGGTGGAGAACAATCCGCAGGATCCACCGAAGAAAAATCAGTATCAGGGTACCGGTTAACCGGTACCGAAGGGAGTTGATCATGGCCGCTCATTGATCGACCTGGCCCCTCGTTGGTAGACCCGGGTCTCTCATCGGTCGACCTGGGTCCCTCACTGGTAGACCCAATCCCTCATCGGTAGACCTGTGTCCCTCGTTGGTAGACCCGGTCTCTCGCTGGTAGACATGGGTCCCTCATTGGTCGACCTTGGCCTCTCGGGGTTCAGCCACTCCGGACCAGTTAATACAAGGATCAGACTAGTCGACGCAAGGAATCAGAGCTTCAGGCAAGGATAGAGTAAAGGAGTTAAAAGGATATGTGGTGGAGTGGGTTCAAAAAATTGTATGATGAGAACTCAAACCACTCACTGTGCCGGACTGCCGACTGTCGGAGGGGATACCCCGATGCCGCGTATGGACCTTCTCTTACCTTGTGTACCCGTCGGCTGGCGGGTTGCACTCTTCGGAGGACTTGGTGAAGATGTAGACGTCTGCCTTGAGGGAGGTAGACCTGGGGGGCCTCGAGTGGATATGCTTCACTCGGTGAGCCGGTAGGTGGCCACTCGATCGACCTTGTCGAGAGTGGACTTAAAACCAAATTCTTCAGGGAGCTTGTCGTCCCTGGCCTTTTCCTTCTTGTTCAGGGGTATCAACCACCTAACCTTTACTTTACTCCCGGACCTTGAGGTGAGGGAGACCGCTTCCGATAGCGGGTCTTGGGGGGTGTTGCTACTCGAACGAGCTCACAGGCCAAATATATCCTGGAGCTCTATTCGCCCTTGAACTTCGCTACACAACTGTCTTCGACGGGGGGCCAAAATATATCCCTTCCCGGAACAGTGAGTAACTTAGAACAAACCCTTCTTGGGTGACGGAGTCGTGCCACGTAGATCGCAAATTGAGTAGTATTTAATATAGTCCTATCCTTTTAACTCCTTTACTCTATCCTCGCCTGAAGCTCTGATTCCTTGCGTCGACTGGTCTGATCCTTGTATTAACTGGTCCGGAGTGGCTGAACCCCGAGGGGCCGAGGTCGACCGATGAGGGGCCGGGTCGACCAATGAGGGACCCAGGTCTACCGATGAGGGACCGGGTCGACCAATGAGGGACCCAGGTCTACCAGCGAGAGACCGGGTCTACCGACGAGGGACCCAGGTCTACCGATGAGGGATCGGGTCGATCAATGAGGGACCCAGGTCGACCTATGACGGACCCGGGTCTACCAACGAGGGGACAGGTCGATCAATGAGCGGCCATGATCAACTCCCTTCGGTACCGGTTAACCGGTACCCTGATACTGATTTTTCTTCGG